GATGATGATGATGATGATGCTGATGATGATGATGATGATGATGATGATGATGATGATGATGATGATGATGATGATGATGATGATGATGATGATGATGATGATGATGATGATGATGATGATGATGATGATGATGATGATGATGATGATGATGATGATGATGATGATGATGATGATGATGATGATGATGATGATGATGATGATGATGATGATGATGATGATGATGATGATGATGATGATGATGATGATGATGATGATGATGATGATGATGATGATGATGATGATGATGATGATGATGATGATGATGATGATGATGATGATGATGATGATGATGATGATGATGATGATGATGATGATGATGATGATGATGATGATGATGATGATGATGATGATGATGATGATGATGATGATGATGATGATGATGATGATGATGATGATGATGATGATGATGATGATGATGATGATGATGATGATGATGATGATGATGATGATGATGATGATGATGATGATGATGATGATGATGATGATGATTGGATGATGATGATGATGATGATGATGATGATGATGATGATGATGATGATGATGATGATGATGATGATGATGATGATGATGATGATGATGATGATGATGATGATGATGATGATGATGATGATGATGATGATGATGATGATGATGATGATTTGGATGATGATGATGATGATGATGATGATGATGATGATGATGATGATGATGATGATGATGATGATGATGATGATGATGATGATGATGATGATGATGATGATGATGATGATGATGATGATGATGATGATGATGATGATGATGATGATGATGATGATGATGATTTGGATGATGATGATGATGATGATGATGATGATGATGATGATGATGATGATGATGATGATGATGATGATGATGATGATGATGATGATGATGATGATGATGATGATGATGATGATGATGATGATGATGATGATGATGATGATGATGATGATGATGATGATGATGATGATGATGATGATGATGATGATGATGATGATGATGATGATGATGATGATGATGATGATGATGATGATGATGATGATGATGATGATGATGATGATGATGATGATTTGGATGATGATGATGATGATGATGATTATGATGATGATGATACTAACTACATCACTACAAATTTGTTTAAATGGTATCTAAAAGTTTTAGTCTGGTCTTTTTAAATTTCTTCAGTAGTAATCTAAAAATTATATTTATCCAAGGTCAAGGTTGACACTTTTTTTTAAAACAACTCTGTTACTTTAATCATCTTCAATGTAGGTTGTTTATGAGCTTAAAGAATTTGAAAACAGTCTATTCAACAAAATGTTAGTTGATGAGACCATAATTTATAGACGACCTTACAGCAACGTCGAAGTAACCTTGAGAATGCCCACCTACGTGCCAGAGATAAATATGAATTATGAAGTAGTATAAAGAAAAAGGATTATTATTTACAATTGATGGTTAGTACTAGTGTAATGAAAAGAACACGACTAGGGACAATCGAATTATTTAAGCATAAATTACAAATTATCTCACTAAATTCTGATAACCGTACAGCAAACAGTTAATTTGTAAAATATCAATCAATTCACTTGGTATTGTTTGTTTGAATCTTCCCATTGACGTTTAGGACTGCAATTGGTCAGTCTCTTATTGGCATATGTGCATACTGTGCGTATCGATTCGATATACCCTTAATTCACAAGCAAAGGTGGATAGTGGCTAGCAGTGGAATCCAGTTTGAGGCGCGTTTCGTTCTATTTGGGACTCGTCAAATGGAGGTACCTGCATCTCAGAGTTGATGTTCATCCTATTGCACAAGCAAGTGGCTATCAGAACTCAGTAGCCGAGTAAATATCGCGACGTCATTTGAAGCGAAACGTACTGGCTTCGAGTCCCAGAGTGAACATCAACTCTGAGATGCAGGTACATCCAGCTGACGAATCCCAAATAGAACGAAATGCGCGTCAAACTGGATTCCACTGCTAGCCAATATCCATCTTTCCTTACAATATCAATCAATTGTCTCAATCTTGACTGTTCCTTCTGTAAATATCAATTCATCGTCTCCGATTATTATTATTCATGCATTTTCATGCCAATTGAGCTTCGTTCCCGTTCTTTCCTTATCGATCTTCCACTGAATTACATTCAATGCCCGACCATCGTAATATACTACTTCTGTGGATATAAGTAACCCATACCACAATATAACTATCCAGTGAAACTGTTTAAGATCCCTTCAACTATAGAGACTTCAAAACATCAATCCGTTCTGTCATTAAACCTTAAAAATTTTATGTATATGGCCTTTTTGTTTTTCTTTTCACAGTAACAACATCTCTAATATAGTGACAATAAAAAACTTTGAAAATCTACCGACAAAACGTTCATAGATTTGATCTAAAGCCTTGCGTTTGATGATCTGTTTGTTTAGAAAAACAATTTTGAATATTTCTATGAACATCTAAGAAATTAACCCTACACATAGTCTGTATTAGACATAAACAAAAATAAATTCACTAGTCTACTATTACCATTGTGGTCATCAATTAGAATAATTAGATATATACGAAATGCTCATTATCGGCTTGTGTTTAGTGTAAATAATTTAACCATATTTGGCCACAATAATAATAATTATGATTGTTTCAAAGTTGAATTCATGAGTCAATTAAAGCTAGACCACCATGGAAAACCTGAAAGCACTGGATGGCCGTTTCGTCCTATTATGGGATTCCTCAGCAGTGCACATCCACGATCCCGCACTCGCGAGATTGAAGTTAGACATTAACACTGTTGGATGCCGCCTCAGTGGTCTATCGGTTAAGGACTCTAGCTCGTAACTGGTAGGTCCTAGGTTCGAATCTGGAGATTCGTGATCGTGGGTGCGCACTGCCACTGAGAAGTCCCATAATAGGACGAAACGGCCGTCCAGTGCTTCCAGGTTTTCCATGGTGATCTAGCTTCAATTGACTCATGGTTTCAACTTTGAAATATACTGAAATCTCCACAAATCTCCTTCTAATTATGATTGTTACTAATGATTTTGAGACATAAATAATTAAACTCTTTTAGATAAATATTAAAATTTTCATAGTTGAAATCATGAGTCAATTGGAGCTAAACCACCATGGAAAACCTAGAAGCACTAGATGGCCGTTCCGTTCTGTTGTGAGGCTCCTCAGCAGTTCACGATCCTGCCACACGAGATACCAACCCAGAACATATCTGTCTCACTCGCGAGCGTTTAACCACTGAGCAAGCCGGCATCCAACGGTGTTAACGTCCAACTTCAACGGATCCTCGAAATTGAGCAACCATTCACCAATTGTTTTCAGTGAGTTGATATCTCTACAACAGGCCTGGTTGAACTCCACTGATCACTGCCTCTCAATAGAACTCCAGGAAGTATCTCTTGAAGTCATTCACTGGTGAGTATATGTTGGATAATATCAGAAATGGGTTTTTATGGATATTATAGTCATTTTAATAGTTGAGATTATGATTCAATTGAATCTAGACTACCATGGAAAACATGTAAGCAATGGATGGCCATTTCGTCCTATTGTGGGACTCCTCAGCATTAAATATTAAAATTATATAAATGATTTTAACATTTGTGTTACTAGTACAAATTTGATGATTTATCGTTCAATGACGATATACAAACTTTCAACTCATTTTAATTTCTATAAAGACTCATACGGTATTGAATGAGAACATAAGTGCGGGACAATCGAATGTATTTGAATACAGAATTACACAGTCTCTTAGTAAAATCTGGGAACCATACAGTATGTACTTCATTTGCAAAATGTCAATCAACTGCCACAGACTTCATTGTACTTTTGTTTCCGCACTATTCACACTCAGTTCTCATTCAGTACTCTTCTGCCTCAAGGCAATAAATTTTTTATCAATGATAAATAATACTTATATCTATCGTCATCAGTAGCACACACCACACTCATTCCTTCCTTTAAAGCAGTCGTTTTAGAGGGGGATCTGCTCACCGTGCCACTTTCTTCCTTTCTGTAGTCTGTGCCACGCTCTCCGTCAAAATGTTGGGTGTGCGGCGCGTTGACCTTCATAGCTTCGTTGACCTGCCGGGCCATCAAAATCCAACTTACACCCAGTGACCATGACATTCACCACCTGCTGAGTCATATACATACGATATACACCCAGCAGTTACACGTCACGATAGTAATTAACTTAACTTTACTGGTATACAGTAAAGTTTGATAAAAATTCCCAATACTCAAAATAGCTACGAAATAGTACAGTTCTGATAAACTATGTTTTTCATAGGTAGTATATATGAACAAGACTCAGCTCGGAACAACCATGTATTAAATACTTTATTAGAAAATTTTTCAATAAATGTTCTTTACATTCTGTATGATTCATTCAACTCAAAATTCCTTTATATTTCTTCAATCCGATCTTCTTAACCTTTTGCCGCCAGCCAGTTGACTTTTGATTGGTGTTATTCACTACTTATGTCGACAGACATAAGTAGCATACACCATACTATCAATGATTACCAACCAACTTACATTACATTCAAGTTGTTTTATGGAGTGATTTCATTATATTATTCTTTAACAATTAGGTTAGATTTATTTTTGAACTCGTTGTACAACTAAATATTAAATTTTCTATAAGTATAGTGTATGCTACTCTTGTTGACAGACATTAGTAGTATGTAACATCAATCGGAAGTAGAAAATCTGGCAGAAGATGGCTAAGAAAATCGAGTTGAATAGAGTAGAAAAGAATTATGAACTGGAAGAATAATATAAAATGTGATGGACAAATGACGGAAATTTGCAAATGAAGTAATCAGTGAATGGATCTCATATTTTACCAAGATATTCTGTAAGTTAGTCGTTCTCAACTGTGTCTTCGTTCACAACAATCAGTAGTATGACTGCTCGAAAGACAATATCTACTTTCATGGAAAAGCAGTAACTTGTTCGAGATTCCTTCCTCAGAAATATTTTCGATGTTTATTATTTCTACCACTCATCAAAAAGTTTCACCAATCACTAGGTCACATGATTTTAAAATTTTACATTCCTGCAAGATGCCAAATCGAAATGAGTGAGTGAGTCAGTAGGTGAATACTTCAATCATCTTGGTAATACATATACACACAGAATATAAACTCAATCATACTTAATTGATAAACTCTTGAAAAGGAGGAAACGTTCATGTACTTGTCCTATATCATCATTTATCAACAAAGAGGATCCAATGCAGACATAAAGGCGAGGATCGACAAAGTAAGAACCACATTCATGCTGTTGAATAACAATATATGGAACACAAAACAACTGTCAACTAATAGTAAAGCCACAATCTTCAATAGGAACATCAAGACAGATTTATTATATGGAGCTGAAACACGTCGAGAACTACTACAATCTTCATCAATAATGTACAAGTACTTATAAACAATTGTCTGCGTAATATATTGAATGTCCGTTGACCAGATAACATCAGTAACAGTCTACTAAGAAAGATAACGAAATAGTTTGTAACTGAGCAGGGAATTATGAAAAGATGTTATAAGTGGATATTGACAGATACTTAAGAAATCATCAAACTGCATCACGTGGCAATCTCTAAAATGGGATCATAATGTTTAACGGATAAGTTGATAACCAAAGAACACACTGCGTTGAAGATTTGAATCGGCCATTAAAAGGATGAACAACAGCTGAGAAGATTTGAAAATGATTGCCTAGGACCTAGTTGTATGAAGAGTGGTAGTTGGTGGCCTATACTCTTCCTAGAGAGGTAATCCGAGTAAGTGAGCAAGTGAATAATCCAGTAATTTCTGTATATTTTTGCATACTAAAAATGCCTGCTAAACGTTGATAAATAGAAATAGAATTTTGTTTAGGAGAGGATTAATTGCGAAAATTGTATGTTAATATGCGAATTTACATATTTGGCATAATCCTGCCACCTTCGGAACAAGAAATTCTTCTGATGTAGGTGAGAAATGACATTGTCAAAGCTGAAACTTTATTCGAATATTTAAATAAAATATCTTTCCTACCGACGGCAAAGGATAGACCACTAATCTCAATTATGACCGGTTTTCGATGAACCTATTAGCGGTAAATAAATTTCCAAAATAAATAGCTCTGTAAGTGTTCGACATTGAATGCTGACAACATTAGTTCTAACGGACTCACGTAACTGAAGGCGCTCGGTCATGCATCCGCACCAGATCGTGAGTGGGAACGACGTGATCAACTTCTATTGAGATCGCTAGCCCGTTTGCATCATTCACATTTCGATGTAGTGATTACTTACTTACTTACATACTTTCGCCTGTTACTCCCAATGGAGCATGGGCCGCCGACCAGCTTTCTCCAACCCATTCTGTACTGGGACTTCTTTTCTAGTTCTATCCAGTTCTTGTTCATTCTTCTCATGTCTGTCTCTATTTCTCGGCGTAATGTGTTCTTTGGTCTTCCTCTTCTTCTTTAACCTTCAGGATTCCATGTGAGGGCTTGTCTTGTGACGCAATTAGCTGATTTCCTTAAGGTGTGCCCAATCCACTTCCAGCGCTTCTTCCTGATTTCTTCCTCCGCTGGAATCTAGTTTGTTGTCTCCCACAGTAACTTGTTGCTGATAGTGTCTGGCCATCGGATCCAAAGTATCTTGCGTAGACAGCTGTTAATAAACACTTGTATCTTCTGGATAATGGCTTTCGTAGTTCTCCACGTCTCCGCCACATACAATAGAACTGTCTTCACATTTGTATTGAAAATTCTAACCTTGGTGTTGGTTGACAATTATTTTGAGCTCCAGATGTTTTTCAGTCGCAGGTATGCTGCTCTTGCTTTGCCGATCCGCGCCCTCACATCTGCATCAGATCCACCGTGTTCATCAATGATGCTGCCCAGATATGTAAAGGTTTCCACATCTTCCAAAGCTTCTCCATCAAGTGTAATTTGATTGGTGCATATTGTATTGTATCGGAGAGTCTTGCTTTTCCCTTTGTTTATATTGAGACCTACTGTTGCTGAGGCCGCTGCTACACTGGTCGTTTTCTCCTGCATTTGTTGTTGCGTTTGTGATGGAAGAGCCAGATCATCCGCGAAGTCTAAATCGTCAAGCTGCATCCTGCCTGTCCACTGTATCCCGTGCATTCCTCCAGATGTTGACGTCTTCATAATCCAGTCGATAACCAAGAGAAAGAAAATAGGTGAGAGTAAGCTACTTTACCTTACACCAGTCTTTACTTCAAACGAGTCGGTGAGTTGTCCTCCGTGGACAATTTGGCATTTTAGTCCATCATAGGAGTTCCGTATGATATTGACTATTTTCTCAGGTACGCCGTAGTGTCGAAGAAGCCTCCATAGTGTCGTCCTGTCTACGCTATCAAATGCCTTCTCGTAGTCGATGAAGTTGATGTAGAGTGATGATGTATTGATAACCTAC